GAAGTGTTTACACACCAAATTCAACTACACCAAATACAACTGTCTTCCCACGTTGGAGCGTTTTCAGAAGAAGATCACAGAGAATAAAACCTCAGTTAAAACGACAATATATAACCAAATATTGATCTCATCCTTCCATTGTGATCAGTAGTTGAGATGTAACTATATATTGACTTCCTCTGATCCCCCAGACTGGATGACATTTATCTATATATGACTAGTGAGATCACTCACTCACTGTTCAGCCACCGTTACGTGATCACTCAGCTTACATAAAAATGTAGTGAATTCGATCTGACTTAACTTCATCCTTGTCAATAGCGCATTTCTCTTGACATCCTGTTATGAGACAATTCCACATATCAAGTGGAGTGTTTCTCACTGACAGCTTTTCCAGTGTGAAAAACGTGAAATGGCATTCAAATTCACACAGACGTTGCCTGAGTATCCTTCTTGAAAATATACATACTGTGGTGTCATCAATACTTTTTTGATTGCACACTAGTCAATAACTAGTGTAATGCGTCTAGTCCTATCTGACTGAATTCTATCAGTCAAGCTTGCAATGTGGCCAGCATGTTAGGTGGCGCGCCATTACGGTGCACTCTGAATTGTTCGTATTAGATAGTTGGAGGCAATCGGCAGGAAGCCTTGTCATCAATACGCCTATATCTCTAACGCAATTTCCAAGAATGCAGTTTGTCCTCGAAAATATGCTAAACAAATTATTACTGTTACTGGTTATAGGATTTCATCATAGACCACTGGCAAACTTATGAGTGCAGGACAGCTGTTTCGTCCTAGTATGGGACTCTTCATCACGACTAACCCACCGCCGGTGTTCGAACCCAACACCTTTCGGTTACAAGGCGAACTCGTAGACCAATCAGCCAATTGGGACCCGATCCATTGTTCCCTGAATTATTAATTCTGCTTATTGACGATATAGCTTAACCACTAGCCAGTATCGTTGGCGAGTATCTGTCCTCACACCCGATCTGCTCTACTCCACTGGTCACAACTTCCCACCAGTAGAACTCGGGTGGCTACCTTCCTGAATAGGGCCAGTCACTAGTGAGCATCAGACTGATTTTCGAGTGTTGGTTTACAGGGATTTGATTTGATTGGTTACAGGATTTCATCATCATTTCCCGGATTAAGACGAAGCAGCTGTTCAGTTCTCCCAGGTGGTTTTCCAATGGTTCTCTAACCGATGTCAGTTCTTGGTGAAATCCAGTAACCAATCAAATCAAATCCCTACAAACAAACACTTGAAAATGATTGTTACCATTATTATTATTATTATTATTATTATTATTATTATTATTAATACTGAGTAATTAGGCATATGTGAATAGGAATCTTCGTGTCTCCCCTCGAACATATATTGGACTGAATGTGTTACTTTCAAATATGAACAGTGTGAGAGGTATAAACTACATCAACAAAGTAATATGACTGTTGTGAGTCGGTTGATTAATCGTCAGCGCCCAGGGGTTCGAAACAATGGTCACTGGCTTTATGAGCTACTGGGAACAAAAACACCCATTTCACTCCGAGTATGTCCAAATGGAAGTTCCAAAACAGGATGGAACACGCAGCCTTCATTCCGGCTCCACTCACTCACTGGCAAGTACATGACAGGATAGACAATTCCTGTACAGACAGCTATCAATGAGTACTTCTGAAACGGGGCGAAAGGACAGTAATGACAATAGTAAAACAGCTTACTAATGCTTGTGAGACAGTCATGATGTTTAGTTGCACTATACTTTGACTGCCTCGCAAACTGATTATCGAGGGTTGGACATTTTAACAAGGATTAACAGTGGACTGTTTATTTTTTTTATTGCCTTCACGTTCCCCAGTGGAACATAAGGCTTCAAGCCAGTGACTTGAAGTTTCTGTAGCAGTGCTTATTTTACAGGATGGGGTTGCTAGCCTCATGCCCAACCTTTCCTCTTCACCAGCGTTATTTCTGGCTTAGCGAGGTAAAGGAGTGAGTCGACCGGGGATCGAACCCCGGACCATATGCATGGTCGGCCAGTGTCCTAACCACTATGCCACCGACGCAACAGTGGACTGTAGTGTTTTGCAATTCTTGTTTTAATGGTAGGTCCTACATGTATTCTGTCTCCAGTGTATTTCTACAATCATTTACAGCTTCAAACAACATTCGTGTTTACTCAACCTACGCTTATGTGAAGGTGGAAGAGGACAACGGAGAATATCGGAAAGTGGATGTGCCTTAAAAGTTGATGCAATACCATCATGTGGAATGACTTTCTATTGACAACCGAAAGTAATATAAACTGTTCCTTCCACCTGTATGCAGTCTGATGTATACGAAATTTACTGGTGTGTAAATGTAGTACGAGGAGTTTGAACAATATTCAAGAAGTCATAACAGAAAGTAATCATCAGTGTCATCTCATAATGCAGTCAGCTCTTCTCATGAACGATTGTATCTCACGTTTGCTTACTTCACATAAGTTAACTTAGTATTACGTTGCAGTCATCTACAGTGATTTTTCATGGTGCTGTCGCTCACAAGAGATGGAGATCCGGTGACTATGAATACCTTGCTTGCCTTTTGATCCCGACTCCATCTATTTGACCCTATTGCAGTTCATGAAATCAATGCTATTATAACTCTTAACTGACATGGGGAGGGACTGCAAACTTGAAAATTATTCGAAGCAGGTTATTAATGGAGTTTTTCTATTTTTATCAACTGAAAACAACGTGACAGTATGCAAGCGAACAAGTAAGCAACAACGTTTAAAGAAGAAACTTCTGATCTCACTTAGCTTAAATACATGACAGATATGTCACATAGTAAGTATTCAGCACTTTCAATAAATCGTAGACTACATCTACGTGATCTTTCGAAAATTAGTACCGTAATTATTACTATTCAGAACTCGCAATTTAGAACATAACAAACATATGATTGCTTGGTAATAGCATGTAGCAATGAAACAAATACATGCACTATGTCTCATACACATTTACACTTTTTATGTTTCTACTTTCAGTACAGATGACAACACTAATGCAGAATTTGCTTAAATGAGATTATGACTTCTTAAGTTATTCGTGCTCCTTTTGTACCATAGTTACGTCTTCTCTACAGCAAACTCTAATTTCCATTCCGGATCCAGAATTTCCTGTAGTCACTTCAGGAAACTTCCAACTCTGTCTTTCGTATGATTAACTGAGACTTTTGTTGACCCGAAGCAAGAAGCTGCCCACATATGCTTCCTTGACATTAAATAATGAAGTAAGTACTTATCGACTTTAAAACATACTGAATAAAAGCTGCTGTAATTGTAAGTGAGTGTGAATGAATTGCAAAAATGTCCTGTGCACGATATAAACGCACACGTCATTCATATTTATCATCTTGTAAAACAATGTGTGCATTTTCAAGTGTTGATTTGTAGGGATTTGATTGGTTACAGGATTTCATCATGAGCTGACATCAGTTAGAGAACCATTGGAAAACCTGGGAGTACTGGACAGCTGTTTCGTCCTAGTTTGGGACTCTTCAACAGTACGCACCCACCGGGATTCGAACCCTGGACCTTCTGGTTACAAGGCGAGCTCGTATACCATTAAGCCACCGGGACCCGATCCAATGGTCCATGAATTCTAACTTCTGCCAATTCACGACATAGCGCGACCCCTAGCCAATGTCTTCGGCGAGTATTTGTCCTCACGCCCGACCTGCTGCACCCTACTGGTCACGACTTCTCACTAGAACCCCAGGTGACTACCCACCTGAATAGGGCAAGTCGCTAGTGAGCATCTCATTGATTTTCAAGTGTTGGTTTGTAGGGATTTGATTGGTTACAGGATTTCATCATGAGCTGACATCAGTTAGAGAACCATTGGAACCAATGTGTGCATTCTTTATCTGAAAGTTAGACTTTAAATTCATCAAAAGTTATCATCTCGCCTGCCTGCTAAATGCTCAGCAAGCAGGAAATGAATGAAAGAATGCTGTAGTCCTAGTAGTATCCCTGATAGATACCTTACATTGTCATCATACACATACTTAATCTCTAACACTTGCCGTCTAGCATACATAAATACACAACTGGCTCCCTATCAAGGCTACTTAAAGTAGTTGATAAATCAGATGGCATCATACACAATAAGTTCACTGTAATCATCCTGTTTCATCAGTATTCTACATGAAACCCCTGATAATTCCTATTATTGAGTGTTATTACATCATTTCACTCAGTTCTTTTAAGCTTCCTACCTCTAATGCATAAGAAGAACATTGACAACTGCTAAATACTGTGAGCATGAGATGTTAAATTTTTATCATTTTTCAACTTAGCGCCGAATCGTCTAGCACAGTGTTTGGTTAACTGTTCTATCAATAAAACAAATGACGCCGTGAGACATTGTAAATAGAGAAAGCACTAGAGGCAGGTTATTAATAATATCTTTAGCAGTTACCAATCTCATTGGAAGTAATAATGGTGAGAAAACACATCAAAATGTGAAAACAATAAACTACTATATCACGCCATGATATTAGGAAACATAGATGAATACAGCCTCCAAAAATATTAACCATTCGCAGTCAGGCTTTCGAACACACACTCACGTGTGTCATTTGTAGTCTTATGTTTCAAATAAGCAGACTAGAAAATTGTGTTGTTCTAAATTTTACTATGGGAATATTTAATATATAGAAAATTGTATAAAAATGAAATAAAAAATTATACTTCCATGCGCCTCTTCTGATTGGCTGATTACTTATGACAATGTTATTGGTTAATAAAATCCCGCAGAAGTATTAGGATGAATTATCCGATTAACCAATGATATTTTAAGGATGAGTCTGTGGACGCAATGTCATGCGACTTTTTACACATTAAATCATGTCACTCAAATATTAAATAGGAATATGGTGGGGGGGGGGGCCGATTCGAGAACACTATAAATATAGGATGGTACTTAGATGTGGTCAGGTCTCTGAACTTGCCTTTGACGCGATTGTATTTCAAATCAACTACAGCTGATTACTGCCTGTGTAATACTTTGCTCTATTTTCTACTATTCATCGGAATTTTTTGAAAATTTAAATGTCTGAACTTCAAAATCAGTTTTCCAAAGTTAGAAGAGGTTGCAAAAAGCGTATTCAACTCGATGCAGACGAAAACGTTAGCGCAGACAAATGGATATTTAATTTCAGTGAATGGAACTGTCAGGATATACGCAGACCACTTGGGGAATTATCGAATACTTGTACAAAAACATTGACACAGACTCCAAATGTACCTGATAGTTCAAATGAGAAAAAACCTAGAGATCATGATAGTACAGATCAGAATAATATCACCCGACGTAATGAAAGAGAAAGAAATCGTGTTAAGCTGTTAAACATGGGATTCGATCGTCTGCGAGCTGTTGTTCCATGTCGTTCAGGTGAACAGCTCAGCAAAATCTCTACTTTAAAGAAAGCAATCTGGTATATTGAGCATTTAGACAAAGTATTGCACGGGCAGGAAAATTCATGTTCGGATTTAGCGGATCAATCAACATCATCACCGATGCCACGAACACCTGAATCCAACAAATTAACAATAAATGTGAAGGGTCAAGCTAAATCAATTACACCTAAATCAGCTGGGTTATTTGGAATCAATCACCGTGAGGCAAGATCAGGGACCTCCTGGTCGTCTTTCGAGAAGGATATATCAACTACTAAGAATACATCCATTCAAGAAAGAAGATCAGTCAACCAACCATATATGTCACCCATATTTCCAACCTATTGGGACCATACTGGCAACAATAGCATCACTGCTGCCAGAGAAATGTTTTCGACACCAAAACTTACTTCAACTCCATCCATCATGAAACACGTCAGACACACTGATGAAATAACAAATAACTTACCATCATCTTCGGATTTCTCATTCTCAGAATGTCGCAGTGATTCTGGCTATAATAGTCCTATGTTTAGGAGCAGACTACCATCAGAGATGAATTTTTTACCAGTATCGAAAAGGTACCTGTCGCACTTTAGCACACCAACCACGACTGCAGTTGCCAATTTATTAAATCCTGTCTATGCTTCACCTGTCTCAACTAACGATCAGATGATTTTATCTGAATTCAATTTGTCCCATAATTTCCGTCGTACTCAATGGTCGCTGAATGATAACTGTCATCAGAAGCCAAGTTGAACGTGGAAATCTATAAGTATACGGTATACAAATACATGGTGACTTTTTCGTCATACTATAAGTAAGTGGAATTTCACATGTTTCTGTATAATAATGTTTGACTGACTAACTACTTACATTTTAATGACATGTTAAAGCCTAAGAAGTTCGCGTGGAAGTTAGTTTCCCTTTCTATGTGTTAATTTATCTTCTTAATTAAATTAGTCAACCAGGGTCTATTTATCGTAAGAATTCATAAGTTAGATCACTTCACCGCTTTTAATTCCCATATTCGGAAAATAAATGGAACCAATTTGTCTACATGCTTTCACTCTTGTATTTAATCAATGATTTGTGAGGTGGTGTACTCTTGCTATGCCGATCATATGGTTAGGACCTGTCCATTAAATACTGAGGATTAGTATAATCTAACAGGTGTGAATACCACCCACTTACTTCCGTGAACAGTTGATTTTAAGTAGTAGGTGGCTGATTTATGCAGAAAGAATAGACAAGTGAGCAAAATTTGGGAAGTTTCAAGTCGCCTACAGAATCTTTCCCATATTGACAATTTTCTATTTCACCTATAATTTTTTTTCGTCTTTTTCGTCTATAATTATTTTCAGGTATTAAATTTAAACTGGCAACCTTCTGGTACATTTATCCGGAAATGATTGAGAAAACATGATGTGTATTGGGGCACGTATTTTTGTGATTGGAATAACCGTCCAAACCACAAATAAACAGGGAATTTAAATAGGACTTAGGAAGTATGCCAAAATGAAGCACAGAGAATGGGACAATCCATAACAAAACAACGAAAATAACCATAAGAAAGTTTGATGCAGTCGTTAGTCAATGACGTACTTTTGCTTAAGATTAATTAGACATATCGATGTGATTTTAATGTCGTACGTAACCATAATCATCTCTGCTTAACAGAAGCTTAACGTTTTGTTGTTGTAAAACTGCTTATATCCCTTGTTTTACAATTTATAAAAGCATTTAAAGGCCTGTTCCCAAGTCGTTGTTTTTTTCAAATGTAGCATGTATGAAGTATTTGTCCAACATTTTTTTCATCTTATTTTTCTATCGTTTATCAAAATACTTTTTAATAGCTTTCATTTTCTGTCAACAAATGCGCATAAAATAAAAATACTTGATTAATGAAAAGTGTTACTTCTCTTCGACGATAATTTGATGAAGAATGAATCCAAGATATAAGTAATTTCACAGCCTTATACGGAGTGTTATTCGTCTGCTCTCTCAAGACATCATTGCAAGAATCTACAATAGACACTCCGAATAATATCCCAGAAGATATCTTGTCTGGGATCTAGAATGATTTCGGAAAATAACTAAATATTTATGGATGGCACATTTGCTATTTGAGGGTATTATGAGACTTAGTAAAACATTGTAAGTGAAGAGAAGGTCAAATTAGTGGTTTCTCTCTGACGGTCTTCTCAAGGGATGTCGAATTCTACTATTTGCGTGATTGCGTACTATGTTTTCGAAGTGATATAAATAGAAAAGTTAATGTTAGCATGACACGTGCCACTGGCAAGAATTCGTAAGTGTCATATTGGTAACAGTTACTGCGAGAATGTTGAAAGTGGAGGGGTGGGATTGAGTTGCGAAAAGGCGAAAATAACATCATTGTGAAATAATATAGGAAACGTGAAATGAAAACAAAAGAAGCTGAACACTAATAGCTTTTACAAAGTGAATAAGTTTCAGTGTAGGTTTTCTATAGTTGGCCAACATGAGGATAGAATGACGTCTCGTTTAAGTATGAAATTTAATCAGATTGTGTTCAATCCTTTTGCTTTCTAAATGGGGATTCTCTCTGTATTATAACCTTCGGAGCAACAGTTCGCGTTAAAGGTGCTCGATGAGTATGTGAAGTACAGTGAAGCGAGAACTTCTTAGGATTTCATTATCGAGTGCATTGAAACAAAGCTGTATCCCAAGTTCTATTGTTTACTTCTCAGGAGAGTTCGACCGAATGAGAAAACACTCAAGCACCACACACTGAATCAGATTGAATAATCCTCAATCCTTTTGCTCTCTAAATCTGAGTTTTGCCATTCTAATTAAGTATCGCACTTTTATTCAGCCGTTTATGCATGTGAGTAAACTGTTTATGATAGTACCAATTACGCTTAAATATTAGGAGGGACGTTCTCTTGGAGCGTATACTTACCATAATTTATTTCATACTCAGTGGAAAGGCATATCTGTATTTGAGTAATCGTCGTTTACAGCTTAGGTGAATCAGTTATTAAAAGAGGCATCAAAGAAATTTTTCGGTATGGTTGTTTCACCAGTAGTTCGCTCACACTAAAGTGTACAATTGTAAATATATGATTGCTAAGAAAACTTACGCCGGGAGGAAAGTAAAACAGCGGTTCTGAGTAGTAACAATAATAATAATAATGTAAATCGAGACAAAATATTTGTGACAACAAGAGTTAATTTTGAATTCAAAGTAGAATATTTGGTTGAAAACTATCCCCGTCACCTATGCAAATAAGATGCATGTCGACTAAGAGTACCAAACTAGGATGAAACAAGTACTCAGTGTCGCTTGGTGTCAAGAGGTTGCCACTAGTGTCTGATATGTCCTTGTGAGAAAATCAGTTTATTTAAGGAATTGTAAGAAAAGTTTTAGAATATGAACGGTCATTACTAGCCCATACTATTTAACCCACTTACTACCATGAATATTAATTCAAGAAAGCAGGAACGTGCACACTGCAGATTGATATGAGTAAATGCAAGGCAATGACGACAACCAGCAGTACCTCTTTGTTATTTTTTTCATTAAAAAATTCAACATGTTTCGTGCTTCCATGTCATTGTATCTTTCTAATCACCTCATTATGAAAATGACAATGTGACAGCAGTGAGTGTCACAGTATTCTTCCACGTAGCTGCCATCAGAGCAAAATAATTTTTTAACAGAGATAGAACAAAGATTGGTGCAACATAGTGAAATGCTTCTAGCTGACCATCCTTATGTTGTGCTTCTCTGTGACCTTATAATAATAATCCCTGGTGGATGAGTGTTTCATGATAATAAACAAAATCTACGTTAAATTTGTATTATAACTGGTCTTACTAAACATAACAGGTTGTATGCAACTCACGAGAATCAAGGAAATATACTGGCTTCATATATTATTCTGCACCGATGTTTGGTTTATACCTGTTCAGATTTATAAAGGGGGAATTGTTGTCTGAAGAAATAATTTTCTATAGATTGAACAATTAACTTAACGGCAGGCCTTATCGTCTAGGAATCACTCCACTGAGAACACACGACATGTTTCCGGGATAGGAAATGAAATTTCCGAAAACTGAGTGAACTGAAATATGAGTCTTGTTAAAGGTCAATGAAGCTCAGTATAGAAAGTCTTTGTATTCATTCGGCTTAGACGAATCATTAGCCTTGATAATCTCACTGGTTAGTGTATACAGAATGTAACTGTGAATATTACAAGTAATAATGCAGAGAATGAACTGCACAACAGATGTTACTTTTATGAAATGAGATGTTTTTTTTTTCCTGAGAAACATTTTTAAAGCATAATTTAAATCACATAAAAGCGAAGATAAAAGAAAAATTGCTATTGATACATTTTCGATATATTCATAATAATAAATTCATTTCCTAGAATGATAACTGTAACACGAGTAGAATCTATCTAATTATTTCTTGAACATTTAATTTTGTGAATAATTAATAGAATGTTGGTTGAAATTTTGTAGAGCAGAATAGTATGAATTACTACAACATATGATTTTTGATGTGACACAAGGTAGAATTGATTAGTTTAACTGAGTACTACAAACAATAAACCTATTCAAACTTTTTCATCATTTCAGGAATAATTTTCTCTGACCCCCCCCCCTCCGGTCCCCTGTTCGTTGCTTATTTCTTATAAATTCATTTTCTTCCTAATTTAATTTCATTAGTTTTGGTAAATCAAATCCATCTGTTCAAACTTTCGCTTAACTTATTAGAAAGACTTTGTAGAAATCGAACTATTTAACGTTTACCACGTGGTTGTATATATATACGTGGACAGAAGGAAACTGAAATGAACACATTAATGTAGTGATAGTATATCGAATTTACACAAAAATCTAACACATGCGCGGATGAACGCACTCACATACACACACACACATGCATCATAAATAAAAAGAACAGACAATAAATACAAAAATCAGTATAGAATCATGGTAATGAGTACGAAGGCGGAGAAGGAAAGAACTAAGTAGAGAAATAGTATTTACCTGAATAGTTTGTGCAACAAAACACACACACAATCTATATCTGTCATTTTCATGTCACCCTCTAATAAATTAACATACACAAATATGACTAAGGATAGGATCAGTGAAAATAAAAACTAAAAACAAAGACAGTAAAAATAAGGATGAGAACAAATTAAATTATGAAACAGATTGTGAGGATATTGAATGTATAGAAAATATGTGATGAATAAGTGAGGGGTGTGAGGAGAGAGTACATGATAAAAATGTTGATTAAAACTTTTTCTATTGTCCTTTTCTTCCACACGTTTGAATGGATTTATTGTTTGTCTTCACCCTGCAAAGCCAGTTAGTTTGTCCCTGTCGTATTATTCTCCTGGGTGCACTGCACTTTCCTTTGTTCACTCGCGCTTATTTCCACACAATAGGGTCACTATTTTATACTAGCAGTAACAATAATAATGGTGGTAGTAATAATACTATTTACAATAATATTAATAGACATTCCCAATTAGGAACTCTCCAGGGTGATAACAATCTTACTTAATTGCAGAATTTGATTATTTCAGGTGCACAAATAGAATTTTCTTTCTGTGATAAATGAGGAGGATGAATGGGTATGATAGTACAGTGTGAGACGGTCGAAAATGCCGGAGAGACAATTTCAGCACTTAAAAGTTGAGGAATATGTTTCGGGCTTGTCACACATATTCACAATCTATGCTAAGCTGTTTCAG